TTAACAAGCATTTCAATTATTATTTACATGATTATGTTTATAAACAATGACTTTGCCAGAAGAGGCCTTTTCATTTAAACTGAGTTTATAAAATGTATTAACTCTTTGGTTTCTGCCGCACAGCAGAAACCCTGATTCCTATTTGGATAGTTGTCCGGTGAAGCTTTATACAGGTTCTCCATCACGTGCTTATTCTAATCTGAGACAAAATGAAATAGACTAAAGTATTTCTGTAATTCCAGAAACAGAACATTTTGTGGCAACAGTAATATGAACGCAGAACTCATTATTGGACACCTGTACAAGAAAATTTTTGAAGTAATGAGCCAAGAAAGAAGGAGATGATAGGTATGTGTCATGTAAATGTATACAATGCACATCACCTAGCTTCCGTATCTGAGCCAAACCCTCTCATGAAAAGTGGGAAAGAATGAACTTGAGGACTGAAATTCTCCAGGTTAGGCTCCTTAGAGGATGAGACCAGGAAGGGAGACTGTAGAACTCAGAGCAGCTGCCGTCCACTGATTAAATTAGGAGACATTAGGAAAACATGCTCCCCAAAGGAGTCACAGGACAGTGAATATCTATGCAGTAGGAGGAGAAAACCAGCACTCAGTGAGCATCATGAAGGGACTAGGGTTGCCGGGGCAAACGTAGGAAAGTTGGGACATTAGAGGTCCTTCCCTATTTTATCAGCTAGCCCAGGTTCAGCTGATAAATAATGACCAGGAGAAGTATGCATCTTTTTAGCATACTAAGTTCCAAACTCAACAAACTAAACTCTTTGCCTCCAAAGACCACTGCATTCCCTTATCCCAGGCAGTTTACAAATCCAGTGTCTCCCCCAGGAGCAGAGCCACTCTCTCTGCCCATCTTAATTTTATCACTAGTACAGAGGTCATCACATTTACTGTTATATTCTGTCAGTAGCACAACAAGCAGAAGAATAAGCTATGTCAAGTAGGATGCTTTGGGCTCCAAGCAACTTCTAAGCCCAACTCAAATTGGCACATAGAATAAGAACATTAATGATCTCACATATCAACAAGACCAGAAGTTGTGAGAGCCTCAAGTCTTGGTAACACCCTGATTCTCTGGGCTCTGCCTTTCTCTAAATGTTGGATTCAGAAACTTGGCAGGATAGTTCTTGCCTTCACATCCAAGAAAACCTCCAGAGGGAACAAGGAACCTCTCTTCTATTGCTCTTTTTCACGAATCTGGAAACCTGTCCTAGAAGGCTCCCAGCAGATGTGCCCTCACATCTCCATTCCAATGGGGTTATATGTCCATTTATATAGACTAGTCACTCCCCAGGAGGGTGGAATTATCCTGATGGGTTTAGACAGCTCAGAATCCACCCCTGGACCACCTGCTTGAATAGAATGGGGGGGAGGGGAATGTACAAAACCCAAACTCAAATTTCTCTTAAATAGGGAAAAGGAGATAATGGACAACCCAATAATGTCCTCACAGACCTCAATAAGTATTGTGGGTTGAATGAGTGAATAAACAAAAAAAGATGTGTTCACATTGTTTAACTCTTGCTGCTTTATTTTTAGTAGCCTAAGATAATCACTAATGAGGCTCGGCACCTGTGGCTCAAGCGGCTAAGGCGCCAGCCACATACACCTAAGGTGGCGGGTTCAAATCCCCAGCCCAGGCCCGCCAAACAACAATGATGGCTACAATCAAAAAATGGCTGGGCGTTGTGGCGGGCACCTGTAGTCCCAGCTACTTGGGAGGCTGAGGCAGGAGACTCGCTTGAGCCCAGGAGTTGGAGGTTGTTGTGAGCTGTGATGCCATGGCCCTCTACCCAGGGGGATAGCTTGAGGCTCTGTCTCAAAAAAAGATAATCACTAATGTGAGAACAATGCTGATCATTAATTCAGATCATTCTTAACAAAATGTTACAGTTCTAAATATTTATATTCATATTTGAGTATTAATGTTTTCCACCACAATTGTCCACATTTCTACAAGTGGCATAATATCTTCTTGGTGGTCAACCTGGCATAATAACAGATTTTCAAGAACTCAGAATTAAAATTTTATGTATTAACTTTGATGAAATTCTATAGTAGTCAATATGTCCCGTAGAGTTTAGGATCTGAATAAGACTAATTTTTGATGGAATGTGAATACTCAGGCAATTTAATACCAATTACTGGTCAATAAGTGCCCTTTAGCACATGAATGGATTAATACACTGTGGTATATGTATACCACAGAATACTATTCAGCCATAAAAAGGTACAGATTTTGTATCCTTTGTTACAACTTGGATGGATTTGGAAAATACTCTCCTAGGTAAAGTATCACAAGAATGGAAAAACAAGCATCACATGTACTCAATACTCATTTGAAACTTGTAGATTAACAACAACACGATCACATGAGAAAAAACCTCAACTGAAGGAGAGAGGGAGAAGAGGAAGCAGAGAGAGTGGGAACAATTGCCTGTCTATGGCACAGTCCCTGGGTGGAAGGAACAGCTACAACTTGGACTTTACAAATGCAAACAATGTCACCTAATGGTGTGTGCTCTCACATCAGTTTGAAATTTGTTAAAAAATTAAAAAAAGAAAACCCACTGTAGGTGATTCACCTATTCCAGGGTCACTCAAGTCCTGTCTCAGGTATGATATCCTTTCAGTGTTTCATGGACAAAAGAAGTCTGTTTCTCACAGAAAAAAAGTAAGTGATGATGATTTTGTCAATAACATAGTTTGTTTCACACAAATAACCAAACGCAAGAAAATAATTCAGCATCTTGTTGCATTCCTTCCCTGCTTCAACCACTTTCAAAACAAAAGAAGGCAGCGCAGTCGATAGCTCATGCAGTCCCTTCCTAGTGCACGAGGCCTCTGCAAGGCAAGTGTGTGCACATTCAATGAGTGGTGGGAGGTCCCACGATAGCCACCGCCAGAAAGAAAGCAGAAAAATATTATAAAATCCTTAATTACACTTCTCTCTTTGGACACACTGCCAACTTTTGTACACGTTCTTTCCTTCCAAACTGAACACCATCAAACACCACAAGGAACACCCACTAAAAACAAAAATTAGTCACTGTTGCTGTGCCTGATGATTTCCATGTTTTTCTAATCAGAAGTTGCACAGTGTGACCCAGGATAATTTGTGGCGGAGTGTTTTTTAAAGAGAGTTTTGAACTCCTACGCTCTTAAGTGGTGCATGCACTTTCCATTTCACTGGTGCATGCACTTTCCATTGTTAGCCGCCTGGGCCTTGAAGGTATTTGTGCTGTTCTCCCAGAAATTATGAGGTTTATGTTTATAGTTAATACTAGAGCACTTTCATTTTCCATTTTTCCACTCAGTTTTTTTTTAAGAGACTAAAAATGCAATAAAATATTGAAATATTTTCATAAACATAGCTATTTAAAGATTCAGTGCTGTGAGTCTGGACTACTGCTCAACAGGCAGACTACTGCTGAAAACACAAATTATTTTTTTTTTATTAGCTAATGTTCAAAAATCTAAATTTAAAATGCTAATATTGGGTTCTCAGTGTACTGTATAAGGAACAAAATACAAGCCATTGGAAAGCTGAATTTTTGAAAGGTGAAAACAACTTACTGATTAGCTAACTTGTAATGACCATCTGGGTTTGAATTTTAGTTTAGTCCTGCTCTTGTACTTGGGAAAAGCTTGGAGTCCTACACTCAGGCCGCCATTACTGCCTCCTATACCCTAGCCTCTAAAAGAAGCTCCAAAGACTGTACTCAGTGACCATGAGATATGTTCCCTTAGTTGGGGACATGGTGGCCTGGTGCTTGACACTTCCTAAGGAAGCCAAATCAGTTTGGGTAGCATATAGGTGGTACTAATCCTCTTGACCTCTCACTCAAGAGCAAAGGTGTGTGAGTCTTTGGAACTGGACCACTAAAGGAATGTCGACTTGGGGCACTTAACCAGGGATTCTGTCAAAGGGGGTAGTTTGCCAAAGCCAGGAGACTCTCAGTTGTTAATTAGCCCTAGAATGAAGGTGAGGTGAGGTCAGCAGAAGCTGCTGAAGAGGACTCAGTGTTAGAGAAGCCTAGAAGGGAAGCTTCTGAGTAACCCATAAAGAGAAGGATCAACTTTGAACATCTGTTAGTACCAGCAGTATCACAACACCACCCCTTTCCATACCAAACCTGGAGAAGACTGGGAGAAGGTGAGGGAGATGAAAACAGCCAATCACACCACATAGGTAACACAGTAGGCAGGGCCAGCAGCTGTCACCTCTCACTGGTTAAGGAGTAACTCACTTGTGAATGAAGATTCCCATTATGAAGTGAGACTATGACTTACTTTCACACAAATGGACTGTAAGATTTTGTATTACCTGAGATGAAAAATGTCATGAGACTATCCAAGTGTTCTGCCACAAGCCTGGGAAGGAATAGCCTTCACAGAGCGGTTTTGACAGAACATGAGAGATAAAAGTAAAAGTGCAGGCTCGGCGCCTGTGGCTCAAGCTGCTTAGGCGCTAGCCACATACACCTAAGGTGGCAGGTTCGAATCCAGCCCAGGCCCGCCAAACAACAATGATGGCTGCAACCAGAAAATAGCCAGGCGTTGTGGCAGGCGCCTGTGGTCCCAGCTACTTGGGAGCAGAGGCAGGAGACTCACTTGAGCCCAGGAGTTGGAGGTTGCTGTGAGCTGTGATGCCACAGCACTCTACCCAGGGGGACAGGTTGAGGCTCTGTCTCAAAAAAAAAAAAAAAGTAAAAGTGCAATCTGATAGCATCGCACAGATTGTCCTTGTTCAACGTAATGTGTGTGTGTCTGTATGTATAGGCATGTGAATATATATATGCACACATAAAGTATATACTAGATATATATGCCAGATTTATCAGATATATAGTTAAACATCAGTTTCTTACTTAAATTTAAATTTTAAATATTAACACTTTTAAGGATTATCTCTATTAAAGACAAGAGATTAAGGTAGTAATTTAATTTTAGCAATTGACAGATAATATATACTACTACCTTGTTATGATGAAGCCATAAGTATTTTAAGTTTTTAAACCTAGAAAGATCCATGACCTCTGTCAGCTGCCTGGAAAGAAAAAAAAAATATGTGAACATCAGCAACGATTAATTCACATGTACAGCTGGTCACATAGTTAACATGACTTTGGAATAAGAGAAAAGTCCTCTCTGTCCTTTCAAAACTGTTGGCACACTTACCTGCTCATTTCTGGAATTCTACCATTATCACTTCCTTCATTTGGATTAAGAGTTTGTCAGCTAGTTAGCAAAAATATACACCCCAGTATTACTGAATTTATTGGGATCTCAATTCAAAACAAATTTTACTGGATCAAGGGTAAAGGGAGAAATGTGAAGATGATGCTGGAAGTTTAAGTAAATGTGAAAAACACAGTTGACTCCTTCAATGTTGCCTGAAGGATTGTCACTTTGGAGTTAGTACTGGAATTGGCCAGACTGGACTAATGGAAATTGCAGGACTCCAAGAGACAGAGATAGAGTGAAGTGCTCTAATTTCCCTTTATTGTTTATTATTTATAGAGTCAGAATATTATCCATCCTTCTGAAATGATGTCAAACCTTAGCTATCCTAGTCCTTACTGCTAAAGTAGCTCACTCAACAAAGGGGCAGATGCCGGGTGGGGAGAGGTGTTGTCTGAGGATATTTGCACATTTTACTGATGTGGCCAGGAGTATGCATGGGTCTTTTATTTCTCAGGTCAGAAACTGTGGGTACCAAGGTACATATATCTCTGTTTATTTATCAAACACTTATAAAGAACATATTGCATACCAGAAACTTTCTGAAGCACACAAGAAAATACTCATGTAATTCTTATTACTTATATTAATTCATTTATGGTAACATTCTCTCAATTGTTTTTGATCTTAGGACACTGAAGGACTAAAATTTTCCTAACTTTTATGAAGACATACTCTTTTTTTTTTTTTTTTTTTTTTTTTTTTGAGACAGAGTCTCACTATGTCACCCTCGGCAGAGTGCTGCAACGTCATAGCTCACAGCAACCTCCAACTCTTGGGCTTAAATGATTTTCTGGCCTCAGCCTCCCAAGTAGCTGGGACTACAGGCACCCACCATAATGCCCAGCTGTTTTTTTGTTGCAGTTGTCATTGTTGTTTATCTGGCCAGGGCCAGGTTTGAACCCACCAGCCTGGGTGTATGTGGCCAGCACCGTAACCACTGTGCTATGGTCACGGAGCCTGAAGACATACATACTTTTTAAAGCATGCAAACAACATTTCTAAACAAAATAAATTTTTCTCACTCTTTATATTGAATAATTTCAAACCTGGGAAAAGTTAAAGGAACATTATAATGAACACTTGCATAACTGTCATAATTTTTAATGTATTTCCACACTTACGCTCATTCTATCTAAATTATATATTTATTGGTTGATAATTTTCTTGGTGGATCATTTGAAAATAAGTTGCAGGCTTTTTTATTCTGGGCTCCTCAGCCTAAATAGTTCAGGATGTCTATCTCCTAAACAGGACATTGTCCTGCAGAGCCACAATGCCGTCATTGCACCTAAGAAGATTAAATTGAATTTAATATCGTCTAGTATGCTCTTCATATTCAGATTTTCCCCATTGCCTTTACATTTCTTTTCTTTTTCTTTTTTTAATTAAATCATAGCTGTGTACCATTTCTTTTATAGTTTGTTTAAATTCCATGCATTGCAGTTTCAGTTAGTATAACCCTTTAGTCTTTTAAAACCTAATCATCTTCCTTTTTCTCCTTTAATGATTGTTTGAGAAGTTTGGGATAATTTGACAGAATGCCTCACATTCTTCTTAATGAACAAATTCAAGGAAGATCATTTCTACTTCTCAGTTATATGGTAATTGTTGAATTATATCAGGAGGTGAATGTCAGTGTGTTCACACCTGGTGAAGCTAAATTTAGTCATTTGGTTAACATAGTTATCTGCCAGTTCTCTCCATTGTAAAAGTACAAATTTTCTAATTGTGTCATGTGAGATAATAATCTGAGATCATATGTGTATCTTATTCCTTGACAACTATTTACTCAATGGCATTAGCTTTAATTGATGGTCCTCTCTTGAAGGAATAAATGAATTTGGGATTATAAAATGATGTTTTCTCTAATGTACGTATGTATGTATGAAGACAGAGTCTCTGTCACCTTTGGTAGAGTGCTCTGGCATCATAGCTTGCAGCAACCTCAAACTCTTGGGCTGAAGTGATGCTCCTGCCTCAGCCTCCCTTCCAAGTACAGTAGCTGGGACTACAGACACCTGCTACAATGCCTGTCTAGTTTTTTCTATTTTCAGCAGAGATGAGGTTTTGCTCTTGCTCAGGCTGGTCTTAAATTCCTGAGCTCAAGCAATCCATTTGATTGGCCCACCTTGGCCTCCCAGAATGCTAAGATTACAGGTGTGAGCCACTGTACCAGCCTTCTTTCTACATGGTATTCTTCTATAAAAAACATCTGCGCCTCTACTTTTTTTATCTCATTTATTCTCTTCCTCACCTTCCTTGGATTGAAATAGTTTTTTCTTAATCTTTTATCACTTAAAAAAATTCTCAAATTATTTCATACAGAAAACTTTTCAAGGGCAGTGCCTGTGGCTCAAAGGAGTAGGGTGCCGGCCCCATATGATGGAGGTGGTAGGTGGTGGGTTCAAACCCAGCACTGGCCAAAAACTGCAAAAAAAAAAAAAAGAAGAAGACTTTTCAAGCACAATCCTATATCATTTTGACATGTACCATTAGACCTTGAGTCTTTCCCTGGCATAACAAAGTATTTCAGACTCCACCAAAGCAACTTTTCATAGGAAATTTACACACATAATACATTCTCACCTCCCACCATGCCCTGTTTCTTGGAAGAAACACTTGGACCTTGGCACACATTACCTTTCGCATTGGACAATAATGATAATATGTTGGCTGGGTGCACTGGCTCACGATTATAATCCTGCACTCTGAGAGGCCAAGGTTGGACCTCTTGAGCTCAGAAGTTCAGGACCAGCCTGAACAAGAGTGAGACCCTGTCTCTACTAAAAACAGAAAAACTGGCCAGGTGTCATGACAGGTGCCTTGGGAGTCTGAGAGAGCTCCTTGAGAGTGTGAGGCAGAAGGATCGCTTGAACACAGAAGTTTGATGTTGCTGTGAGCTAGGCTGATGCCATGGCACTTTAGCCTGGGGCAACAGAGCGAGATTCTATCTCAAGGGAAAAAAAATAGTATATCAACTTCATCTGTCCTTGTGATAAATAAAAAGCAATCATTATATGGTAGCATCAGAGGGTCTCATGCCTCACTTAGAGTATTTCCCATAAAAGTTATATTACTTTTCTAAGTTACCATTACTTTTCTTATAGTAGTAAACGCCAATTACTGAATTGTCAGTGATTAGTTAATATAATAAGATGATTCAGTTTTTAAGGATACTTTAACTCCTTTAAGTTAAAAGTATTTATTCTGTACAAAAACTCATCTTAAATCAATAATGGGTGTTGCATTCTAAGGTGAAGCCAATAAAAATAATGAGAGCTAATTCTTCTACTGACAATGGCAGTTACTCATGTTGACAATAATATGTCAACAGCTTGTCCTAGTGTATGTTCTCTGTTATCACTCAAGAAGACATCGGTACGATGTTTCTCATTTTCCAGGAGTAACAGAAACTTAGGCAAATAACCAGTTCGCTAATTTTATTGGCCTCTGGACTGCGGCATATTTTTTGTCCCCAGCTGGATTAAATGGTGAGTTAGTATTCTTAGGATATAGAAAGTGCTGTGCTTCATGCAAGAACAGTATTAATTACCCACTGTTGGGAATCAGTATTTCTATTTTTGTAGCGTTGTAAAGCTATTCCCATTGTTACCTACTTACCCTAGTCATCAACAGTGTACAGTGGTCAAAATCATGAAAGGCTTAGAGATGCAATCTTTTGACCACATGAAGTGTTTATTGTTATGGTAAAACTAGCTGATCAAGGGTTAAAGCATGACCTTAAACATGCCAGAATTCTCTGCCATACCTGTTTTATGCTAAAAAATATATTTTTAAAAATTTCAAATTGATCACATATTTATTCCCTTACTACCAAGAGATCCAGAGCCATTCCAAAGATAAATGTTTTTTGCTGTACTTATACAAGTAAATATTTATTATTAATAAAAGAAATATGTTTATTAATAAAGAATTTCTTTAAATCATGAGAGATAAAAGTGATTCAATTCATTCTTAAAGTCAGGCATTTACTTTATAAACAAGCTGAGTTCCAAAGATTACATATGAGTAGAAATATGTCAAGCCTATTTTAAGATAATATTAGAATGCACAGGTATTAAGAAAAGTAAAAGTAAAATGAAAGAGTAGAAGTAGGGTCATTGTTAATGAAAGGCCAACTGCAGTGTCATTTATAGGCTAGTGAAAACTGTGGTGTCAGAGTCTAATCTTACCCACAACTTTCTCTTCATCTTATACCTGGGTTCTAGCTCATGTACTAGAACTACTGTGTAGAAATACCTACTTTGTCATCTGCCACCTTGGGGAGTTCCAGTGGAATCAAAGAGGGCCCTTTGTTAGTATAGGGGAGGGGTTTTCCTACTTACTTGTAAGTACTAGTACAGGTAATATGAGGAGCTGCAGTATAATAGGGGTGATTATTATAGGAAGAGTATAATGAGCCATTGTTCCTAATAATTACAATAACATTAACAGGACTAATGCTTGAGCACTTACTGGGTATCAGGCAGGCCCTCCTCTAACTTTTACAAACACACATACATAATCTTCCCAACAACCCTGTGAATAAGGTAGTATTATTATACACAGGGAAAAGGGTTACAGGTGAAATACAGGAGGCTGGTTACATGTAAATTTCAGAGAAACAACTACTGTTCCAAGTACTGTGCGGGAAATACTTTTACTAAGAAAATTTTACTCATTGTATCTCTGAAATTCAAATGTAACTGGATGTTTTATATATTTATTTGGAATCTGACAACCCTAACAGGGAGGTGAAAATGGAAAAAGATGTTTGAATCCATTAAACATTGCAACGTAATACTCTTTCATTTTTTTATGTAAGATATACTTACTTCTTAGAAAGAAACAACTCAAAGACATCAGCATCACTCTTGTGGCCATATATCTTTAGCTGATCTTCAACTGCCTGATAACATATAATTAATCTGTCAAACCACATTCCAATGAGCAAAAACACTGAGGCATTTGCAGTCAATAACAATAATGTCTACAAGGAGATCAAAAGGAAAGGGAATATGGAAGCAAACACTCCAAACTGGTAAATACCAACAATACAATTATATATTATTTACTCATTTTTGAGACTGAATTTCATTATCCTTAATTCTAGGCATAAGTGCGTAAATAATTATTTATCAGAAAGAAAAAAATGTATATGTGTACATACACATACATACACCAAAAACCAAGTTTCAATTCTCCTGGAGGCAGAGAAATTCGGTCTATTAAGTATTTACTCTTAAGTTCTTCCTGAACATGAAAAGTTAGTATTTGATATGTTTCTTACATTTATAGAAGACACTCAGTATCAGGGTTGGAGGCGGAGAGAGGAGGATTTAATGTATGTTATTATGGGTGTTTGCCTTTTGGCTTATCACATTATGCTTGGCAGCCAGTAAGTTCTCAAAAATTGTGAAATGAATGACTAAAGAAGTGAATAAATATCATTTTCCTCTGAATAAATAAATAAATAAATTTTCCTGCTTTATAAGCAACAGCATCTTCATTTTTTATGAGTTATTAACATTCAGACACTGTGGGAATTTTTGGTGGAGAAGCATCTTTTATTCCCATAGGTTTCGTTTTGAAAATACAAATCCAGCAACAGCTATTTAAGTACTAGCTTTTTCTTCTTAAGTTCCTTTCTAAACTACAAAATTACATTTCGAGGCCACAAGATCTAAAACCATATGAAAAAATAAGATTCTGTCTATAATTTGCCATGAAAGAGCAGAGCTAACAGGACATAACACAAGTGAAAAGTCTAATCATTGCAATTCTGAAATCTAACAGACATTTTAATTATCAGAGGCAAAACCTTCACTGAGTTTCAGCTGGGATTTGTTAGGAATGATGAAGTGATAATTGACTTATACACTTTTGTATGTAACTTACAAAATTTTGACAGTGGTTTTGCTATTTAGCAGAAGACTTGCAGAAGAGTTACATTTAGTAGATGAACAAACATGGAAAGAAGGGAGGAATCTGTAGCTATCACCGTGATGGAGGGCAGCTGTAAATTTATAGTCTCAAACTTCCCTTCATTGCTTGTTAAGCACCTTGAGTCTATGGTTTTGGAGAATTCCTAGGCCCAGGTTCATCATTTCCAAGTGGTTCTCAACCTTCCTAATGCCTCCTAATGCTGCAACCCTTTATTACAGTTCCTCATGTTGTGGTGACCCCCAACCATTAAATTATTTTCGTTGCCACTTCATCACTGTAATTTTGCTACTGTTATGAATTGTAATATAAATATCTGACATGCAGAATATATTTTCATGGTTCCAAAGGGGTTGCGATCCATAGGTCGAGAACCACTGCCATAGAGTATTTTCATTACTACATTATACAAGATGAATCTGGGGCTTGGACAAACCTATTGGATCAGGCTTAGGCATCTTCACCCGGGGATTTTAACTTAAAGTTCTAAACTATCAGCTTCTACTACATATGATCACAACTTTGCAAAGTGTTTGGTTTATTTAAGGCAGCCAAAGTAGATCTAAAATCTTGCGGCCACCTATTAAAATGATAAATTTTCCTTTAAATTGATCCAACCATTCCACATCCAGCACTCAGAAACATACAGATAAATGTGAATATCATTGCTTGTTTTAGCATATTCTGTCTGCAGTTGTGACATATATCCTATTAATTGAAATATGGGTTAAATTAAGATGTGACCTCACAATGCAATGTGCAGTAGTTGAAAAAATTAGAGAAAAAGTTTGAGGTTAATTTTAAGTGTCAGCTTGACTGGCTTATGGGACCATTTTATTCACATTAGAACTTCAAAATAAGAGTCAAGGCTGTCAAACTCTGCTGCTGCTCCAGCAACTAACTTTGTTATATTCTAAAGTCTTTGCTGTCCTTTCAACAGTGTTCACATTATCTTCACCAGGAGTACATTCCATCTTAAGAAACAACTTTTTTCTTTATAATTTTTTTTAAACAGGGTCTAAATCAGGGGTCCTCAAACTTTTTAAACAGGGGGCCAGTTCACTGTCCCTCAGACTGTTGGAGGGCCGGACTGCAGGTCCTGGGATGAGTCAGTTGCTAAGCAGGACAGGCAGCTGCGGCAAAAACACCCGGTGGGCTGGATGAATGTCCTAGGCAGGCTGCATGTGGCCCAGGGGCTGTAGTTTGAGGATGCCTGGTCTAAATCCATTGCCTGGATTGGAGTGCAGTGGCATCCCCATAGCTCACTATAGCTTCAAACTCCTGGGCTTACGTGAGCCTCCTGCCTCAGCCTTCTGAGTATCTGGGACTACAGGTGTGCACCACCACTTCTGGATAATTTTTTCTGTTTTTGGTAGAGATGTGATCTCACTCTCTTGCTAAGGTGGTCAAGTGAACTTGCCTCAGCCTTCCATAGTGTTAGGATTACAAGCGTGAGCCATCATAGCAGCCTTGAGAAACTACACTCTTTGCTTATTCCTCAGAAGCAAGTTTATTTATTTAAGTTGTATGGTGAGATTGCAGCAATTCAGTCACATCTCCAAATTCCATTTCTAATTCTAATTCTCTTGCTATTTCCACCACATTTGCAGTGACTTCTTCAACAGAAGTCTTCCTCAAAGTCACCCATAAGGGGTGAAATCAACTTCTTTCAAATTCCTGTTAATATTGATATGTTATTGCATTACTCCTCCCATGAATCATTAATGTTCTTAATAGGCTCTAGAACAAGGAATCCTTTTGAGATTTTCAATTAGAAAATGACTATCTATGGCAGATATAGCCTATAGAATTAATTCTTTAAAGTTAGACTTTAAAGTCAAAATGATGCTTTGATCTACTGGCTGTAGAACAGATGTTGTTAGCAGGCATGAAAACACTATGACTCTCCTTGTACCTCTCCATTAAAACTCTGAGGTGAAAAAAAAATTGAGTGACCAGGTGCATTGTCAACGAGCAGTAATATTTTGAAAGGAATCTTTTTTTCTGAGCAGTAGGTCTCAAAAGTGGGCTTAGAATATTCAGTAAATCATCCTGTGCACAGATGTAGTGTCATTCAGGCAGCATTATACCATTTATAGGGCACAGGCAGAGTACATTTTGCATAATTCTTAAGGGCCCTAGGATTTTCAGAATGGTAAATGAGCATTGGCTTCAACTTAAAGTTACCAGCTGTATTAGCTCCTACTAAAAGAGTTAGCCTGTCCTTTAAGCTTTAATGGCTGGTATTAATTTCTCCTATCTAGCTGAGAAAGTCCTAGATGGCATCTTCTTTCACCAGAAAGCTATCTGGTTTACAATGCAATCAGCCATTTAGTGTAGCTACCTTCATCAGCTATCTTAGCTAGATCTGGATACCTTCCTGCCCCTTCTCCATAGGCACTTGCTGCCTCACTTTGCACTTCCATGTAATGGAAATGGCTTCTGTTCTCAAACCTCATGAACCAGCCTCTGCTAGTTTCAAAGTTTTCTTCTGCAGCTCCTTACCTATCTCAGCCTTAATACAGTTGAAGAGAGGGTCTTGCTAACTAAAGAATTAGGCTTCGGCTTGAGGGCATGTTGTGGCTGGACTGATGTTCTATATATACCACTAAAACTTTCTTCATATCAGCAATAAGGTTGTTTCACTTTTTATCATTCGTGTGTTCCCTGGAGTAGCACTTTAAATTTCCTTCAGGAACTTTTCCTTTGCAGTCGCAACTTAGCTGTTTGGTGCAAGATGTCTAGCTCACAGCCCTTCTCAGCTTTCAACATGCCTTCCTCGTAACCCTTAATAATTTCTAGCTTTTGATTTAAAAATAAGAGATGTAAGACTCTTCCTTTCCATTTGAACATTTGGAGGCCCTTGGAGGGTTATTAATTGGCCTAATTTTAATATTACTTTGTCTCGAAGAATGAGGAGTCCTAAAGGGAGAGGGAGAGACTGAGGAATGTCTGGTCAGTGGAACAGTCAGATCACACCACCATTCACAGATTAACAGGCATGGTTCTTGGTGCCCCAAAACAGCTACAACAGTAACATCAAAGACCACTGATCTTTGGTCATCATAACAGATACAAATAGTAGTGGAAAAGTGTGAAATATCATGAGAATTAACAAAATGTGACACAGAGACAGGAAGTGAACATGTCCATTTGGGAAAAGGCGCCGATAGACTTGCTTGATGCCGGGTTGCACAAACTTTCAACTTATAAAAAATGCAGTATCTGCAAAGTATAATAAGGCAAAAGGCAATCTGGCTGTACTGTCAGCCTGGATCTCTGAGAATATGTCAGGGCAGGACTGACAGGTGGCCTGGCCCGTATAGAGTGAGGAAAAAGAGAAGTAGGATATGGGCAGAAAACGTGAAGAAGTCCACAAAAGAGAGGAAGTAGGGGAAGAAAGGGTGAGGCATGGCGGGGGGGGG